TAGCAATTATTCTGCTTTGTAACTGGAGCTTTAAATACTAATTCAAACAGCCAGAGGAAAACCAATTAGTGCTAATTTATCTCTATGTGTTTTCCAGAGCTGGTGTCTGTCACACTGTGAAGAAATAGGTTGGTAATTAGTACAGTTGGGTGGTAGATAGAAGTAATTATCAAATTCTTTCATTTTTCTTTGGGAAAAAAAATGGGGAGGGGGTGGGGAGAGCCAAGATAGGTTCTGTACCTCTTTGTTCCCTTGAAGTTTAAAGGGAGGGCCCGTGTAGCTCTGGATGCCAGTCCTCAGAATACTGACTGGACAGGTATTTCTGAGAGACAGGTGGCTCTGGGGGAGGCTGCCTTGACGGCCTTACCAAGGACCCTCCAGCTAACAGGCTCACAGAAGGACCGCCAGTGACTTTACAGGAAGCAAGACAGTTTCCTTTTTATCTGAGGGAGAGTTTATGAGCCCCAAATAATTGACCACAGACTGAAGGAGGCAGACAGTGGGGCCTGGGTCCCAGGCCAGCCTCTCAATCTCCAGCTGTGTGGCCTGGGTGGTGGCGCTGAACCTCTCTGAACACTGGTTTCCCTGTTCTTAAAGTGGACAGACTAGTACTTACCTCAAAGGGTTGTTGTAAGGACCGAATTAAGTAACATAATGCATATAACGGGCCTAGAACCCGGTAATAGCAGGGTGCATTCCTGAGCGCTCACGATTTGCCTGGCACTCTTCCAGCTGGCACTGCATCTGTTCTCTCTCCCTCTCCAAAGCTGTAGACTGGTTCGCTGTGTCCATTGATTTCCCCCTTTCCCCTCCTGGCCACACCTCTCACCGGCTGTATGACTCAGGAAACATTAATTTCGCTAAGCCTCAGTTTCCACATCTGTGAGCTGGGTAATAATAGTACCTTCCCTGTGGGGGCACAGATGAATGAAGACAATGACTATTAAAACTCTTAGCACAGGCGCGAGTGCTGAGCAGGGGCTCCACTGTCATTACCAATGTCATTATTTTATTGTATATGTCTTGTTGTAATCCATACAAGCCCTCTGTTGAAAGAGATAGATATGATACTACAAATACATTTTATTATATACTCACTACTGTCAGGAACCTGCTCACACATTCAGAAACCCCAGACTAGTGCACCCTGAACAACAGAAGGTGGGGTCATAATGGCATTTCAAGGAGCTTCACAGTTTACAAAATGGCTTCACATATATGATTTCAATGCCTTTTCATAAGTGGGAGAGGGGAGAATACTGAAATCCCAATTTTTGCCAGTAGGAAAATGAGGCTCAGAGAACTTAAGTGACTTTCTCAAGAAAATGCTAACATCAGAACCCAAACCCCAGGTTTTTTTATGGCAAAATGTGTGTACGCACTCCCTAAATGCTTGTTGAATGGGTGAATCAGGTGTGCTCTCCACTCACCTTACAGCCTGAGCTGCCAGCAGGTACCGGGTGTCTCAGGAGCCCCTGTGAGGAGCAAAGAAGAGGTGGAGGGAGGTAAAGAAATCTTCAGGGTAGAGAGATGGGCAGTGGCAGGGCTGGGGCAGGCTTGTTAGCACATTGATGAATAGGTGCCATTGAGAAACGGGGAGGTTGTCTTTAACAATCTAGGTGAAGATCTGGCGATCGAGGCTGCAGCCTGTTTGCAGAGACCCCACCCCACCACGCACGGGACCTGCCTGGACCCTGTAGGCCGCGGGGCCCCAAGGATGAGCCACGTGAGGGTGGGGAGGGAAGCAGAATGCAGAGGGTGCAGCTTCGGCAAAGACCCCAGAAGGGGCAAACGCACAGTGCTGGAGGAGCAGGGCCAGGCTGGCCTGGCAGCCCCAGAGGGCAAGTGCCAGTGCAGGGAAGGGAGGCGTAGCCATTGATGAGGTGGGCTTTGGCAGCCACGCAGCAGAGGGCAGATTGGCAGGGCCGCCTCTCCAGGTATCCATGGCTGCCACAGAAGGGGCCTCCAGCAGGGGCGGCAATGCAGCCAGCGCTCTGCCCACCACCCTCAGCCACCCGGCAGATTCCTCCACCCAAGGGAGGGAAGCCTTCTTTCTCATCGCACAGAGGCGCCCACCACATGCTTGCCAAGCTGTGGGCTTCAACCGGAGGGACACCTGTTCCCTGCAGGCTGGGGCTGCCCTAGATCTGACGTATCTGAGAAGGCTGAACTGGTTGAGGTGGCAGGCTGGAGGAGGGATTGTCAGAGAGACGGAGGGGAGAGGAGGGTCGCCGAGGTGACAGCGGCAGGAATGGGAGACATGGAAGGAGAGACATGGGGAGATGGGTGTGGAAACACCTGCCCTGTACCAAAAGTAATAGTAGCTAGGGCTGGAGCGATTATGGGTCATTTTAATTTCCTTCTTTCCAATTATTGGTATTTTCTAAATTTTCCACACTGAGCATATTTCTCTTTTATACTAAAAACAACGAAACTTATTTTTAAAAATGGAAAGGACATATGCTAGAGATATTTTGAAGGAAGAACTGACAGAATTTGATAAGTGACTAGATAAGGCTGATAAAGGAGAAAGAAGAATCAAAAATAACTCCAAGGCTTGAGACTGGGTGATAGGGGAAAGGAGAGGAGAGGAGGCTGGGGGTGGGGGTAGGGGGGTGAGGGAGCTACACAGCGGGGAAACTATGCCTTCCACTCAGACTTTGGAGGGGGGTTCACAGAGCAGGAGAAAGAACAGGGGGCTGGAGCCAGGAGGGACGGAGACACCAGGCTCACCAGGCCGAGGGGTGGCTCGGGTCCAGAACAGAACTCAGGGTACCCTCACAAAAATTATCCGCCCAGACCAACAGGGCCTCCAACAGAGAGGCCACAGGACAAACCCCACGGCAGTGAGGTCGCCAGTCCTGCAGACCAGCCTGCCTTCTGGCCTTGGAAGTGGGCGTCTTGGTTGTGCAAGGAGCAGGAGCCTGAGGGAGGCCAGGACGGGTTAAGGTTGACAGCTGGGCAGGAGTGGAGGCTACAGAAGAGAGAACATGCTGGCCAGGATGTGCCTAGGGTCCCGGTCCCGGCATGGCTGGTGATGGCAGGTAGGGGTGGAAAGCGAGGGAACTCATCCCTGGGGGAACAGGAGCCGCAGCGCACATTGCGAAGGGTCTGCTGGAATCAGTTCGCAGCCATCGCCTCGCCCCAGTTATCCACCAATGCGTGCCCGGTGCCCAGAAACCCGTTTGGCCTGCTTCTGAGGTGACTGGTCTGCAGAGACTTCGGACCTGCTGGAGCCGTGGAGACCAGCTGTCTCAGGCCACACAAGGACGGGGATGGGAAAGGCTATTCCTTTGACCTCCAGAGCCACCTGCCTTGTATCTGCTGGTGACACTGCCAAGGGTGGGCTTCCTGAAGCTCTGAGTGAAAAGTTGCACCCTGAGCGCCACCAGCCAACAGCAAACCAGCCACCTAGCCTTTCGGGTCCCCCCTCCCCTCCCCATGCATCGCCACCCCCTCCCCGTGCACAGCTCTCCAGCACCTGGGACTCACTGAACCACTATTGCCTTAAAAGACTCCGCACTGACTGAGCCTGAGGCCCCACCCGAGGCTGAGGCTGCGTCACTGTTTCCTTGGCAACGGAAGGGGTGGGTGAGGAGCAATACACAAAGCAAACAAAATGAACTCCACATGGGTGGCTGGGAGTCACCTCAGCATCCTGTGGCCAAGGATACGGGGTGGGAGGTGCCATCTTGGTGCCTAGCACCCTCCACCACAGCTGCTCTGGGAGGCTTGCGCCCAACCCCAGCAAGGACCACTTCGCAGCACACTGCGCGGTAACACAAGGGCGCTTACTCTGCTAGGAGCTGTCTTGCGGGAGAAATGAGATATCTAATGAGGGTCTAGCCTCTGCACGCACTGGGCACCAATGAGGCTGAAATATCAACCCCAAAAAGTTGTCAGGCAGGAGGAGGTGGCTCTGAGATGTGCAGAGCCACCGAGAACCTCGTGGGCAGTCATTGCCTGCCGGAATCGGCCTGTGCCACCCCAGGGCTCCCAGAACTCCCTCATTAAGCATCCTCACCCAAGGCACTGGGACATTTGGGGAACTTCCAGTGGGAAGGGAAACCCTGACAGGTGTGTGCCCAAGATTCTAAGGTGCATCTCCAAAATATTTTATGAAGTTGTAAGTACATATATCAAGTACACAGATCTTAAGTGTAAAACTTCATGATTTTTTACTCATTGTCTTTGTTCAGGCCACTATACAGAATACCATAGACTGGATGGCTTATAATATTTATTTCTCATAGTCCTGAAGGCTGGAAGCTTGAGATCAGGGTGCAGCGAGTGTAGCTGGGTCCTGGTGAGAGTTTTCTTCTGGGTTGTGAGAGCTGACTCTCGAAGTGTGCTTGCGTGGAGGAGAGCAAGGAGGGGGGGGCAGCAAGCTCCCCTGTGGCTCCCCTAAGGACACTAGTCCTTTCATGAGGGCCCCTTCCTCATGAGCTCCTCTAATCCTAATTACTTCCCAAACCACTCCCCCACCTAATACACTGGGGATTAGGGTTTCAACACATGCATTTTGAAGGGAACACAAACATTCAACTCATAACATCATGTAACCACCACCAAGATCAGGACATAGAATATTTCCAACGCCCAAAAGGTTCCCACATTCCTTATTGATACGTCAATATCCCCACCCCTGAGGTAACATGATTCTGACTGTTGCCAGTCAGTCAGGCCTGTTGTTAGTCTTCATGTAAATGGAACCATATAGTGGCAGCTCTTTTGCGTCTGGCTGCTTGCACGATACTGTCGTGAGAGTCAGCCATGCAGTTGCAGAAGGCAGTGAGCCATACTTTTCTTTCACTATGCAGTATATCTAGTGTTTTTAAGCTTCTCAAAAGCTTTCATATTTGTGTTCTTCCCCAAGCCAGTGACTTGGAACTGCCATTTCCACCAGGCCGGGCATCACCACGGACATCCATACCCAGGGTATGCTCGGTCCCAGAATGCACCCTTTTCTACCGGGCATCACCACGGACATCCATACCCAGGGTATGCTCGGTCCCAGAATGCACCCTTTTCTATCCCATTTGAGAAAAGATGTAGGAATGTGAGCTGGGTATGATGATATTATGCAGATAACCTTGAATTCCCTTTAATTTACAAAAAAAAAAATGGGGGGGATTATTCGAAAACTGCGACACTTTATTATTAGTAACATATTTGTTTGTGATACATCTCACAACTGCTGGTCCCCCACCAGCGTGTCACAGCTTTTAGGCTGAGAACTGCTAGTCTAAGTGGTGTGATTTCAGAAGCAAAGGAAGGCCACTTCCTGCCCCCAAAATGTCTCTTCCCTCTACCTGACTGCTTCTCCTGAAGTTTCACCCCCGTCTACTTAATTGTGCTTTATGAAGCAGTCCCAGTGTCTCTTTTAAAATGCAAGTGCTCCCAAGGGTAGAGAATCCATCAATCCCACAATACCTTGTGTGACTTACGGGGTAACTGGAAGCCTGCATGAGCAGAGGGCTGGCATGCCTTGCACTGCGTGGGACATGCTTCCCATCCCTCCATCCCACAATGAGGTCATGAGGTTATTATTATTCCCACTTTGCAAATGAGGAAACTGAGGCATGGGGAGATTAAGTCACTAGCCTAAGGCCACACACTATGAGGTTACAGGAGCAATAATTCAGACCCAGTTCTGTCTCTTCCAAAGCCCATGTCGAAACCCAGCTGGGTTTGGGTGGTGGTGGGAGTGCTGGGCATTTGTGAGCAAGGAGAGAGAAGGAGATAGAAAGGAGGGCAAGATGCTGTGCCAAGGGGGAAAGTGACACCCCGGCCATAAGTCAATGTGTTAGAGGAAAAAAGAGAGCACCTTCACATGGGGTTCCCCTAGGCACTGCCACCCCCTGAGCCAGTGACATGTCCACCATCGGGACCAACACCTCCTCCGTTCTTGGTGACCACCAGGCGTGGGGATGTGTCACAGCCAGATCACACCGCTGCAGATATGAGCACAGGTATTCCTGTCTGTACAGGCCACTTTCTTCATGCACCTGTTGGGGTACAGAAGAATGCCCATTTAGAAACTTTATGGAATGTTAACTCCATGCCAAGCACCCTATATGTGTTACTTCAATCTCCATAGCCACCCTGTGGAATGGGTATAGTGAGGCCCCTTTGGTAAGTGAGAAAGCCAGTAGTCATAGATTTAAATAAATTGCCATGAGGCTGCAAGCTTCCTGAGGGCAGAAACGGTATCCGTACAGGGAGTCACCTTTGCCAGAATCTACCACTATGCTGGCAGGTGTGCTATTACCTGTCGGTCACTCAGAGGTGTATGGCCAGGTCTGTCCGACCCTGAAGGCACGTCCTCATCACTGGATGGCCTCATCACAGCTACACGACTAGGCAGAGACCCAGGGTGAGGGTCAAGGAAGGCCTGACTCTGGGGCAGGAGGCATGGGCTTTCAGGAGGAAGAGGGAGTATTTAGTTGGTCCATCAAGTTAGGCCAAGCAGATGGTACCTATATCTGTTGGTGTGAGGCAAGAGCTCATTCTCAAAAATACACCTGCACCACCCATAATTCCACCAATATGAACACTCCCTTTGGCCTTAAATGAGGGTCCCAGTTGCACATTCACCAAACCCTCTCTGAACTAGGCCCTGGGTTAGATAACAAAATAGATAAAATGCAGTGGTGTTTTCAGAGTCTAGAAAAGGAGATGTGCAAGCGCTGTGATTGCCACAGCTTGTGGGGAGAGCCCACCCCAGATGTGGGGCTAGTATCCATGGGCGTTCAGACCAGTGCCTGGCACAGTGTTGATTTAGAGGTCCACATGCACACATGCTTACCAGCTAGGAAGCTTGCACGTGACCCTGAAGGAGATGGGGGATCCTATGGAAGGAGTCTTGGCATGAGAATGACAAAGTCAAGTTTATTTTCCACTGTGCTACCTTTAGCAGCATTAGTGATGGGAGCTATAGACAGCCAGAGTGGGCAGTGGGACGGTCAGTAACTTAATGTGTTCTGGAGGGCCCACATGTCAGCAGCTCACAGCCAGCAGATGGAGCAGAGAATAACCTGGACTTGAGGGGAGCCCGCAGGAGAATGGGGTCAGCAGTGGAGTGGAAGGTGCGTCCCAGGAAGTGGACAGATCTGGAGGCAGCCTTCTCAATTTACCCACGGTGGCAGGGTTGGTGGTGTGGACATGCATGCACATGCACAAATAGATGTGTACATGTGCACACATGTGTGTCAGATTCAAGAATGGGGAGCCTTCAAAAAAAAGAAAATCCATCCATACCTGGGCCCCATTCCACTCAATGGAATTCAGACTCAAGTAGTGAGCACTATAGGGTGTCTGGGTAATGGACCCAGGCGTGTCCTAGACTGAAGCTCAGATTTGCTACCATCTTCTCTTCAACCTTGGTATATATCTTTGAATGATTTCACATTAGGAAAATGGGCCAGAAAAAGTTAAGTGAGGAAAAGAACCTGATAAGCATTTCCCCTGGAAAGAGAAGCTCTGAGGACAAATTATTAGTTCTTCTGGGGTGTGAACTCTGTGTGACCAGGGAGCAGGGGTTTTCCACGTGTCTCTCCTTTCCTGGCACAATATACCTGGAATGAAGGGGCCACCTAGTGAAATCTGAGCAATGAATGAATGAAATGGTTGAAAGCAGTCACATAGGAAAAAATTTAATCTTGTTCCATGGGTCCTCAGGTGAAACAACCATGCAGTTAGTCTGGGGAGATAGAAGAACTTCCCCTAGTTAGCTTATCAGGGTAAGCACTGCTTGACACATATTACCTCATCTCAGCCTCACACAACCCTATAAGGTTTGCACTTGTATTGTGCCCATTTTACAGATGAGGAGGAAACAAGCAAAGAAGGGTTAAGTCATCAAGGGTCATTCATCAGGGATGGGCAGGACAGGATCTGAACCCAGGCACCCAGCCCCAGCATGCACTGCTCCAGCCATGAGAGTGGCACATTTACTATCTGACCACTGATCACCAACCCATCCATCTCCAGAGGAGCCAGAGCCCAGGGTAAACAAGTCTTGGTTGGGGACACTGGGGACAGGATTCAAGCAGCAACCAGAGGAAGGGCTGGACTAGGTGACTTTCCACACTTCTTTCAGCTCTCACAGGAGATAACTGTGCCTCTAGTTGGGCTGCTATAACAACCGCCATAGACTGAGTGACTTCAGAAACAGACACTTGTTTTTCAGAGTTCTGGAGGCTTGTTGGGAAGTCCAAGATCAAGTCCGGCAAATCCAGCATCTGGGGACAGCCACCTTCTCCTTATATCCCCGTGTGGCTGAGAAAGAAGAGAGGAAACAAGCTTTCTCATCTCACTTCTAATAAGGCACTAATGCCATCATAAGGGTCCCAAAGACCCCACCTCCAAATACCAGAACACTCGAGGTTAGAATCTCAACATACCAATTTAGAGGGGACGCAAACATTCAGCCCACAGCATGCTGTCATTTTATTCCTTTGCCCTTGGTCATGCTTGGGAGGGAAGAGTTGCTTGGAGTTACTCTGTTTGAAGGGGAAAGAATGTTGACCTGGGAGTCAGGACCCCAGGGCCCAGCCTGAACAGCTGGCAAACCTGTGCCCCCTTGACCCAGGTTCCTCAGCTGGATAGGAAATCTCTAATCCCTTCAGCTCCAAGATGCCACTGTCCTTTGATTCGGTGTCAGGGGAGGAAGAGAAAGATCATAGTAAGGAGATGGGGTCCCACTTTGCTACTTACACAGAAGTAATTCTACCACTTTGGGACCCTGCAGTCTCTTTTATCTTCAGAGGCATACCTGGAGGACTGACCAAGAAGGAGCCATTTGGGTCAGCTATCCATGTAGAACTTGGCCTTTTCCCCATTTCCAGGCTGAGACTCCTACAATCTAGGACAACTCCAAACTGATCTTGCTTTTTCTCAACCATGGGCAACAGCTGGTGTCAAAAATACCCAGAAAAACTGATAGAGCAGAATTCTGGCTATTATCGGTAGACAGGCATTTTGAAGGGCCACCCTGCATTTTTGCTGGAATGTTCTCTGCCACATGATTTTCCACCCCATGTTGCTTTTATAGATATATATTTATATACATATAAATATCTCTTTCCCTGAGGGACAATGAAGCTCAGCCAAGTAGGAATTCAGTGTGATCCAGTAGAATTTGTTACAAAGGAATTTCACTGGGGTGGGGAGCAGAGATTGTATATTTAGGACATTACCTGGTTAATAAAAGATTGTACAGCTCCGAGAACACATCAGGTTTCCTTTTTTTTTTTTCCTTTAAATTAACAAAAGGTGTGTTGTTTCCCCCATTTTTGCCAATTAAATTACTTTTTTTTTTTTGAAACAATAAGCAGACTAACAGTAGGGGTTAAATAATTTGTTAAAGTGTTGGGAGGTAGAGAGGAGTTGGGGCTTAGAAAGGGGGTTGGGGACTAAAATCTGCCAGTAGCAGCAATAAATGCAGTTATGCCTCAGGCATAATATATCAAAGAAAATATAATGCATCCAGCTTAAAACTAATGATTGCCATATAATTAGATGAGAAGCATTGTGCTATAAATGTGTATTCTTTAGCGTGCTGTGATTTTACTGTAAAAAAGAGAGAGAGAGAGAGAGCGCGTGCGAGAAAGGAGACAGAAAAACAGAGCCCAGCAACATACTATAAAAAGAACCTTCTGTTGACTTCTCTGCTGTTTAGTATTCCTTGGCTGTTCTCCCTTGGGAGTGTGTAATTAGTACTTTATGAAGAGTACATTTAAAGCAGTTTAATATTCACCTCATTCAATCTGAAACAATGTGATCCATGCTTAGACAAATCAGTGCTCCTTGCTGACATAATCTGTCAGAACATTACCTCTGAAAAGACCTTTCAAGAGGTTTGGATGTTAATTAGTTGTCTATCATGTATAAACAGAGCAGTGAGCAGAAGGGGCTCCGACAGGCCAGAGGGCTATGTTGGGAAATGCATTTTGCATGAACGCAGCTTGCAGGGGGGTCTTCTCACTCTCCCCGCCTCCCCCCACACCCCCGCCTCCTCCCTGTGTCAGCAGCCACGGGCTTTGGACCTCTTCCGGGGAGAAAAGAGCTTTCCGGTTGGCTTCAAGGAGCGCAGCTGGTCTCCAGAGGGGACTGTGAACGTGTAAAGGGGTTTCCCCCGTGAGCCACCCCATGCCCCCTGTCTCTGTGGCCCCGTGGCTCCCCAGGTGAGGGCCACCTGCAAGGTGTAACAGGAAGCATGACCTCACAGGCCCACCTGGGCTTGCTGGGAGCGCCCAGGGTTTGGATCTGCCCTGTGGACCGAGAGAGCAAGGAGGAGACGCAGACGCTGGGTGAGCTGAACATGTCCTGCTCACCTGAAAGCGATCCTCTGGGAAGCCCGCCTGCTGTAAACGGAGGTACGGAGGTGCGAGGCGCCGGAGAGGTCACACACACACACACACACACACACACACACACACGCACACACAACGTGCTTTAACCCCCAGACTCACAGCAGGCTGGCAAGCTTCCAAATCTACAGCGCTGGGAGTCCAGGCCCTGCCTCCAGGGTGAATGCTGCTGAAGTTTATCCTGCAAGGACCAACGGAGGCTCTGCCTAGGGAGCTGGGTAGGGATTCCAACTGGCCATTGTTTATTCTGGATTCACAATGCCTGCCTATGAAGTGTATTGAAGATGCTTGCTAAGTAGCAGGTCAGGACTGTTGTTCTGTTGTTCCTGCCAGGTTTGTGATTCCAAAATGGTGTGGCAGCTGGTGCAGGAATCCCCTCCTCCACCCCAGGGTCAAGTGCTCCCCACCCCCTCAGCTGCCTCCCTACTGGTCTCAGTTCCCTCTCCCCAGGCATCCCACCTTCTCAGTGACCTCAACCCCCACAGCCTCTTCATTCACATTCATTCCACAAGCATCCACAACGCACCTACTATGTGCATAGCACTGTGCTACATTCTAGAGAAACAAAGATGACTAAGTTGTGGTCTCCACTCTCTTGAGGCATTTATAGACCCATAAATTCATCATTAGAGTTT